AAGAGGCTGAGAGAGATTTCAGAGGGGACAGATTTCTTAGAAAAGGAGGCATAAGAACTGGACTTTGATGTATGGGAATGAGTTTTCCAGGCAGGGAAGGGCATTCCAGGAGTGAGAACAGCATAAAGAAAGGGACAGAGGGAGACAGTGATTTAGCAGAACCATAATAAGGGTAAAAGCAGAGGCAAGAGAAATTAGCAGCTTGATACTGAGGGCTTTGAACATGAGCTTGGGGGCTTGTGCAGAGAAAGAAGGGAAGTCATGGGAGGTGTTTGAGCTGTGGGGACCCAGTCAGAGCTGGGGGCCTGTTTCTGGATTCCTAATGGGATATGATAAAGGCTGGGCCCAGGTCAGGGCAGTGGGGACCAGGAGGATATCTATGGGGTAGAATCAACAGGATTTGTGTCGAGGGCAGCTGCCCGGGGTGGGGAAGAGCTAGACCCAGGTCAGAGATGAGGTGCAGGGCCCAGCAGACAGAGTGAAGATGGTTCTGATTAAGTAGCTAGGAAGAGGCTCACAGACAGATGTACAAGGACAGACAGGACATGTGGGGTCAGGAATATTTAGAGACAGAGGGACTGGAAAGGGGAGACAGATAGGTCAGCAGAGCCAGTGAGATGGAGACGGGGACCTTCTGGGCTCCCCAAGATTGGATGTTGGTGATACTGAGACTGGTTCTCTCCTGGCCCCTGACACCCATCCTCCCTGTGTGGCCACCAGGCACAATTCTCACACATGGGTGCCTCCACGCACCTGCGCACACCCTTCACCTACCGTGTGCCCGAAGATACCTGGGCCTGCTTCTTCTTGTGCAACCTGATGTATGCGCTGGGCCCCCACCTGTTGGCCTATCGCTGCCTGTTGTGGCCTGCCTTCTTCCTGCATCCACCCCCTGGCTCCCAGGCCCCCCACAAAAAGCAGCACTGATGGGACTGTGAGACTCCCCAGGACTCTGTTTACACAGCCAGCCGGCGCTGCCCCCAGAAGGGTAGGTTGGGTCTTTAGAGGCAGGAGGTATGTCCCTGGTGTCTTTAGTCCTGACTATGGTGGTTTCAAGGCCAGCTGGTGGGATGGAAGACCCAAGGGCCAGGTGTTCTGACAGAGAGGGCTACAGCCACACTCAGCGGTCACTGCTCCCCAACCTCCACATATTCGTCTACTCTCACAGAATTTACCCATTACTCCCATGGATCCTTTTAGTAAAAGCCCTTTTGATGCCTAAAATGTTGCTGCCTGAGTGTTTCATGGGGCAGGGGTGAGGGACTCTCTTCTCAGACCCCGCAAAAGCCCACTCATTACTGCCAGTATGATGGTCAGGAGGTCAGGAGCTGGAGATGCCAGGTAGCAGAATTCTGCCTCTGGTCGGTGTATACAACTCCATCTTCCAGGTCGGGAAAACTGAGGCTCGGAGAACCAGAACCTGCCTGAAGTCACAATCAGAAGAGTTTTAAAGTCCTGTTTCTGCCAATAAATTATAATAATTAATAGTGTGGCACAATTATTAAGCACCTACAGTATAACACACCAAAGGCTAACCTCACATGCTATATGCTGGATCTTACCCCATATTCCAGATGGAGAAACTGAGCCTGCAGGAGATGAAAGTCTTGATCTGAGGTCACACCTCCTAGATACAGCTGAGCTAGGAACCCAGCCCCGGCCAGTTCAACCACAGAGCCTATAACCCTGCCTCTGCTGTCTGTTTGGTTTATATTTTGGGGAAACAGCCTGGGGAGGCAGCCGATGGGTTGGGGGAAGGGTTCATTGTTTTCTGGTTTGATTATTGAACCTGGATGAAGGGCTAGGTTCAGGGGTAATGGGCTAGAGTGGAATCAGAGGCTTGACCAGACTCCCCTGCTCCCTATTCCTACCAACACTTATTAGCCACCTATTGACTGTATGTCTAGCCACTGGATCTTCACCAAAGAATTAGCATTCCATTTCCCAGAGGTGGAAACTGAGGCTCAGAGACCAAGCTCTCTTCCAAGGTTCCACTGCTGTCGAGGGGCAGAGTTGGATTTGTATCTGTTGCTGCATGATTGGATAACTGTTTGTGGGTTCCGCACCCCACAAAATGAGCACCTTTTCAGTGCCAGAGTCCAGGACCACACGATGGTCACCCAGTGGGAAATGGGAAAACAGACCTGCAGGCCAAGCCCCTTTCCCAGGTTACTCAGTCCCCTGACTACGCAGGGCATCTGAGCTGGAAGACTCCATAAAGCCCCTCCTCCATTTTAAAGATGGTTAAACTGAGGCCCAGAGAGATTCCTCCACGGGCTCACAGTCAGCCAGCAGGGGCAGTGACCTGGTCCTGCATTCACTGTCCAGCGTGTTCCTACTTGCATCCGAGCCAGGCTTTCTCTCCGCCAAGCGCCCGCGCCTCCGCGTTCCCTTTAACGCACCCCCCGCCGCCCCCCATCTCGTTTGCTTCCCTCCTCCCCTTGCAGGCAGACGCCGGGATTGCGCCGCCCGCAAGGACCTGCCCAGTCCTTCCCCGGGTGTGCCAGGAGCGCAGTCCCGGCGCGTAGGGGCCACTTGGCCGGGTCTGTACGGGCAGAATGGTGAGTGCGGCCACAGAGTGGGTCTCGACAGTTCTCTGTCCGGGATTCTGTCTCTGTCTCTGTCTCTGTCTCTAGGTCCCTCCGTGTTTCTTTCCTGTCTCTATCC